AGTTTGACTATAATCTCGACTATAGCTTAACTGTAGTCTAGACTATATTTTGACTATAGTCTAGAATATATTTTGGACTATATTCTTATATATAATTTGATTTTATAGTTGGACTATAAATAGTTGGACTTGAGTCTTGACAATAGTATGATTTTAATATCGATTACAGTTTGACTGTAATCAGGCCTATAGTTTGACTTTAGTCACGACAATGGTTAAACTATAGAAGTCCACATTTTAGAGTGCACTATATGACTTTAGTATCAACAATAGTTTGATTTGAATCCTGACTATAGCTTGACAATAGTCCCTTCTATAATTTGAACCCTACTATGAATTTAGTTTATGAATATAGACCCGACTATAGTCTGACTTTAGTCTCGATAATAGTTAGGACTATAGTTTGACTAAGTACTCGATCATAGCTTAACTTTAGTCCTACAATGGTATGACTATAATCCCGTTTATAATTTAGACTATGGTTTAACTTTAGTCTCAACAATAGTTTCACTATAGTCCCATTCTAAGTCCTGACTATATTTAGTTTGCCAATAGTCCCGACTATAAGTTGATCCATAGTTTACTTTAGTCCTTTAATGTTATGGTTTTAGTCTCGTCTATAATTTAGACTATAATTTGACTTATGTCTGAACAATAGTTTTACTAAAGTCCCTTCTTAAGTTCTGACAATAGTTTGCTAATAGTCCCGACTATAAGTTGATCTATAGTTTAACTATAGTCTGCATTATAGTTTGACTTCAATCCTTCAGTGTTATGACTATACACCCGTCTATAATGTCGACTATAATTTGACTTTAGTTTAAAACATAGTTTTACTGTGGTCCCTTCTTTAGACCTGGCTATATTAGGACTTTAGTCCCGACTATAGTTTGGCGATAGTCCCAACTTTAATTTGACTATAGTTTGACTTTAGTTCTACAATGGTACTTCTATAGCTCCGTCTATAATTAAGTCTATAGTTTGACTTTAGTATCAACAATAGTTTTACTATAGTTTCTTCTTTGGCCATGACTAAATTCAGGCTATAGTCTCCACAATATTTGGACTATAGACCCAAGTCTGGATCATAGTTTGACTATAACCTCGAATATAGTATAACTTTAGTCTCGATAATAGTTTTGCTATAGCCCCAACATATAGCTTCTCTATAGTCTCGACTTGGTCTCAACAGTAGTTTGTCTTTAGTACCGGATATAGTTTGATTTATGCACTCGACTATAGTCTCGATAGTAATTTGACTATATACACGTTTTAAGTATATAGTCATACTATATACAGTATATATTCAACTATTATCTATCTTCTACTATAGCAACGACTAAAGTTTTGACTATAGTCTCAAGAATAGTTTGATTATTCTCTTAACTTTAGTATCGACCATGCTCTTGACAAAAGTATTAATTTTAACCAAGTATATGGACTATTTATCGTCTCCACTATACATGTTTAAAATTCCACCAGCTTAATGACATATTAAGTTTAGAATCTTGAAACAACAGCAACAACAATAACAACATTTTCTAACATAAATATTGCATGTTTTAAAAAGATTCCTTAACCAAAGTTTTCTACTTGTTATTCAAGAAAAAAAATTTCTGTTATCTTTTGTTATATCCGCTTAAAACATTATCTCTCAACTAATTGTTATAACTTAAAGAAAATTTCTCTTCCTTTTCCCCTGTTTTTCTTAATTTCTACATTATTTCCCCCGACAACCCATAATTAACCAAACAAACTTGACAAATTATATAGCCACTTCTTAATAAAATAGAAATATAATGGAGAACAAAAAAAAAAAAAAAAAACAATGTAAACAAAAGAAAATTAATCTTAATAAAATTGATAGATTGTTTGTTTAAGTGATTAACGTGTTTTCAATGGCGCCAAATTGTAACAAGGCGATCTTTTCAACTTGAAACGCCCCACCAAAGGCAGTCAAGTGAAATGCCGGCTACATGAACGCAGCCACGACATGACAGGCAACATAAAGTCAAGTGCTCAATGGGGGAAATCTCTGTGTTCTTCAAAAACAACAACAACAAACAGCAGCATTTTGTTTATTTTAATCGAAAATTTCCTGTGGTAGCCGGGCACAACATTTTTGTTTTTCATAAACGACACACGAAACTTGATCAAACTATCGATCAATTCATTCAGTAGATCGTAGTGTCTGCAATCAAGTGCTTTTGAAAAAAAATTAAAAAATAATAAAAAAGGTATCAACCACCATTGATTAGGCAGGCGGGCAGGTTATTTGTTAAAGGTGTGATTAAAAAAAGTGTTCATTGATATAGTTTGAACGATACTTTAGGAATATAGATGATCATAATGTTAATGATGATGATGGTGATCATGTTTTGTTGATAATTCAGATGATGGTGATTCTACAGATCTTGCTGCTGTTGCATTTAATGCTAATGATGCTGTTGTTGCCTTTAGGTGATTGTTAGTTGTTTGTTCTAGAACTTGTTAAAAAACACAGCAACCACACAGCACACCATCTTCTCCGGGTATTTCGTGTAGCTGATGTTGACGTTTTTTTCACTCAGCATTTTTATTACAATTTTATTTTTTTACAAAATAATTTTTTTTTCTTGGAAATTAACCAATTACCATGATAATTAGTTGTTTGTGACTGTTCTCACATGTGAAAGCAACAGAAAAATAGAAAAGATTTTTAAGTTTGATAAAAACCGCCCGTTTGCAGCTGAGTGTTGTTTTTTATATTGTATTTTTGTTTTATGTTTGTGAACAATGTAATTAAGCTGCATGTTGTTTTCTTTGAGGCATGTTCCTGCTTGATGTATTCATTCACAGCAGCTCACATCATGACATTTGTGAAAATAAATCAATTGGAGGATGACAGTGAATTGAAAATCCACTCTACTTGATTGTGACTTGTAGGAGACATTGTGATCAGAGTAGTCTGTACTATAATTGAACTAGAACAGAACTAGAACTGAACTAGAACCTGAACATCGAACTGAACCAGAACTGAACTAGAACTGAACTAGAACTGAACTAGAACTGAACTAGAACTGAACTAGAACTGAACTAGAACTGAACTAGAACTGAACTAGAACTGAACTAGAACTGAACTGAACTGAACTAGAACTGAACCTAGAACTGAACTAGAACTGAACTAGAACTGAACTAGAACTGAACTAGAACTGAACTAGAACTGAACAGAACTGAACTAGAACTGAACTAGAACTGAACTAGAACTGAACTAGAACTGAACTAGAACTGAACTAGAACTGAACTAAAACTGAACTAGAACTGAACTAGAACTGAACTAGAACTGAACTAGACTGAACTAGAACTGAAACTAGAACTGAACTAGAACTGAACTAAGAACTGAACTAGAACTGAACTAGAACTGAACTAGAACTAGAACTGACGAAATGAACTAGAACTGAACTAGAAACTGAACTAGAACTGAACTAGAACTGAACTAGAACTGAACTAGGAACTGAACTAGAACTGAACTAGAACTGAACTAGAACTGAACTAGAACTGAACTAGAACTGAACTAGAACTGAACTAGAACTGAACTAGAACTGAACTAGAACTGACTAGAACTGAACTAGAACTGAACTAGAACTGAACTAGAACTGAACTAGAACTGAACTAGAACTGAACTAGAACTGAACTAGAACTGAACTAGAACTGAACTAGAACTGAACTAGAACTGAACTAGAACTGAACTAGAACTGAACTAGAACTGAACTAGAACTGAACTAGAACTGAACTAGAACTGAACTAGAACTGAACTAGAACTGAACTAGAACTGAACTAGAACTAGAACTGAACTAGAACTGAACTAGAACTGAACTAGAACTGAACTAGAACTGAACTAGAACTGAACTAGAACTGAACTAGAACTGAACTAGAACTGAACTAGAACTGAACTAGAACTGAACTAGAACTGAACTAGAACTGAACTAGAACTGAACTAGAACTGAACTAGAACTGAACTAGATGAACTAGAACTGAACTAGAACTGAACTAGAAACTGAACTAGAACTGAACTAGAACTGAACTGAACTGAACTAGAACTGAACTAGACTGAAGCTAGAACTGAACTAGAACTGCGCTAGAAACTGACTAGAACTGAACTAGAACTGAACTAGAACTGAACTAGAACTGAACTAGAACTGAACTAAACTGAACTAGAATTGAACGAGAACTGAACTAGAACCGAACTAGACTGAACTAGAACTGAACTAAAACTGAACTAGAACTGAACTAGAACTGAACTAGAACTGAACTAGAACTGAACTAGAACTGAACTAGAACTGAACTAGAACTGAACTAGAACTGAACTAGAACTGAACTAATAACTGAACTAGAACTGAACTAGAACTGAACTAGAAATGAACTAGAACTGAAATAGAATTGAACTAAAACTGAACTAGAAATAGAACTAGAACTAAACTAGAAATAAAGTATAGAAAATTTATTTTTTAATATAAAATGTTAGAAAAATTTTGCAAATTTTTCTTTTAACAAATTGTTCAAAAAAAATGTTTAAGATTTCACTTTTACAACAGTTTTTACAGATGTTCTTAAAAATGTTATTTCCTCTTTTAATTCAAATTCCGATCGTTAATTATATAAAAACACTTTTAAGTTTTTAAAATTTTTTCCCAAATATCCATATAAGATTTTATTAAATAAAACTTTGACTTAATATTTAAAGTGTTTAAAACACTGCATATTTGTTTAGTAGCTCTAATAATAAATACTAAAAAAAAACTAAAAATTTTCAACAGTTTTTAACTGTTTTACAATAAATATAAATTTAAAAAATTCTAAAATCAACAGCAGTTTTTAATTTGCAACTTCATCATCATCTTCTTTCTCCTTAACCACAACTAATGTCTTCCTCTCAACCACTGATCTTGAATTCTTTTTTCCTTCTTTTCTTTTCAATTTTCACTCTAAGTTGTATTTTTTAGTAAATTCTGCGTACTTACGTCCAAGACATGTGTGTTTACGGAACTGTAGAAAACCTTCTACACAACGGCAGGCACCATCCAAACAACTGCTGTTGGCCACTTTCATGGTACACTGTTCGTTGAGAGTACAATCACCACCCAGAAGTTGAGCTGCCAGAGAAAAAAATGAGAAAAACAGTCATTCATTAATTATGCGAAATAAATATTTAAAGATCATCTAAGCTAAACACACACAGATACACTTAAACACACACTCTTAGTTATAAAAAACAAACACGGAAACCTGTCATAAAAGTGTTAAAAAATTATAGTTTTCCAACTTTTAGTAAAAGAACAGATTTCTAAAGATAAGTTACAAAATTTTATCAACATTTTTTTAACTGGCATGTGTTTCCAAGTGTGTTTAACTTAAAATAGAAAACTTGCTTTGCATTTTAAGAAAAATTAAAAAAAAAAAAAAAACAAAACTTACAAGACAAACATGTTGTTGTATTATATTGTACATAATAAGGTGCACATTCACAATAACCCTGGGCCGAACAAGATGAACCCTTTATGAAATCTGTACAATCCATATCGTGTTGACATTTGGAACCAAGTGTTGAACCTAACACATCTGTGCAGTGTAATGTTATAATTAACACTATCTGTAAAGTGAGAAAAATCATTATTTTAGTAAATATCAATGAAAATTGTTTACTTAAAAAGTTCAATAGAAATTTTCTTATAAAAAAAAGATTTACCTTCACCAGAATTTTCTTAATCATAAATATGTAAATTTTCGATGTTAGTTAAATAAATAAACCTCATTTATTTTAATTTCCGGGAATTAGCATCAAATAAATTTATTTAAAAAACGTTTAAGTTTGGTGTGACATTTGTAAGTGTTATTAATGAGCTTGGGTCTTAAGTCTTTCGTTTGTTTATTCTGGTTGTGTGAGTGATTTAACAGTTCGTGTCTTAAGTCTTTTGTATGCAGTTGTGGTTATTATACTCTCCACCATAACTCGAAAAGAACGTGGATTATACTATATATGCTTTTCGTTTAACACTTAGTCATTTTTACCGTAAACCTCAAAAAACCAAAAGTTTTTTGTTTAACAAAATCTCGAAAAATTTAAGATTTAAACCAAAATGCAAGGCGACATCTAATGAAATCTTTAGAAAATTTATGAACTAGAACAGAACTAAAAAAACACTAGAACAGAGCTAGAATTGAACTAGAACTGAACTAGAACTGAACTAGAACTGAACTAGAACTGAACTAGAACTGAACTAGAACTGAACTAGAACTGAACTAGAACTGAACTAGAACTGAACTAGAACTGAACTAGAACTGAACTAGAACTGAACTAGAACTGAACTAGAACTGAACTAGAACTGAACTAGAACTGAACTAGAACTGAACTAGAACTGAACTAGAACTGAACTAGAACTGAACTAGAACTGAACTAGAACTGAACTAGAACTGAACTAGAACTGAACTAGAACTGAACTAGAACTGAACCTAGAACTGAACTAGAACTGAACTAGAACTGAACTAGAACTGAACTAGAACTGAACTAGATACTGAACTAGAACTGAACTAGAACTGAACTAGAACTGAACTAGAACTGAACTAGAACTGAACTAGAACTGAACTAGAACTGAACTAGAACCTGAAACTGACTAGAACTGAACTAGAACTGAACTAGAACTGAACTAGAACTGAACTAGAACTGAACTAGAACTGAACTAGAACTGAACAAGAATTGAACTAGAACTAAATTCACTTTAAAAAAAAACGTTCACAATATCCTTTAAAACTATTTTAACAAAAAAGTATCTAAAAATCTTTCCAAATTAACAAAGATCAATAAATAATCTATTTACCTTAACACTTACTTTACTAGTTATTTTACTATGACCTAAATTCCAGCATCAAACAAGAATTTAATGATTTTTTCTATTTATAAATAGATTTTTATTAGCAGAACCGCAAAAAAAAAAGAAATAAAATTAGCAAAGAAAATATAGAAATACAATACATATATTTTTAATTGCAAAAATCATAAAAAGACTTTCAACAGACAAAAAAAAAAAAAAAATGCAAATTGAACATAAATTCAAAACAAAAAATTAAAGAAAGAGAGAAAGATTTGATGTAAATAAAAACCAAAACAAGAACCATTGCTATTGAATTGTACCGCATTGACGAGTGTCAAGTACTATTAGCCGAGTTTAATCTACTTTCCCAAAAAGTCTCAGGTTTAGAGTAATAAAGCAGTGGCAAGTAATGGCAGTTAAATAAAAAGTAAAAAATTAGGTATCATGAGTAGAGAGTATCATGATTCAAATAAAATGAGCAAGCAGTGATTTAACCAATAAAATGTTATATGTTAAATGAAGGCTAACTGATGTGCTGTGGACACAGGAAAGAAAGAAAATAGTGAATTTTCGGTTCAACAGTGGGTTTCGAAAATTGCGATTCTCATTATTAGTACTTTTGATAGCATTTGCTCAAAATTTAATTTTTTAAATTTTTATTACATGTTTTATTAAATTATTTTAGATTTTTTAAAAACACATTTAAAAAAGTAGTATTTCTATTTTTTTTAGAGTACTTTTTATAAAAGTTGATTTTTTTTTAAATAGTATTTTTAGTACTTTTTATAAATATTTTTTGATTGTTTTTTTCAATACTTTTTAAAAAGTAATACTTTTTTATACAAATTTAAATTTTTTTTATCAAATATGGAATTTTTAGTACTTTTTTGGTTAAAAAGTAGTATTTTTAGTACTTTTTGTGAACATTGTTTTATGGAAATTAATTTTCTTTATGTTTTAGACAAAGAAGTTATTTGTTTGTGCTATTTTAATACATTTTTAAAAAAGTAGTATTTCTACTACTTTTTTAAGACATTCAAAAAATTTATTTTGTGAAAAAGATTTTAAATGTTTTTTTAATTTATTATTGTGAATTTTTGGTCAAAAAGTAGTAGTTTTAGTACCTTTTGCAAAAATGTTTAAAGTGAAAATTAATTTATTTTAAGTGCTAATTAAAGAATATTTGGTTTTAGCACCTTTTTGTTATTAATTTAAAAAAAGTAGTATTTCTACTACTTTTTCAATTAACATGTGTTTTTGTAGTGTTTTTAATTTCTTTAGTTAATTAAAAAATTTTCATATAACTTTAAATCGGCTGTTAACAAAAATCGATAATTTTTTGGTTAAAAAGTAGTATTTTTAGTACTTTTTTTAAAAAGGTTTTTATTACGAAAATAAATTTACTTTAAGTTTTTTACAAAGAAATTTTATTTTTAAACAATTTTATTGCTATTTCAAATAAGTATTATTTCTACTACTTTTTGAAAAAGCTTCAAGATTTAAACTTTTAATGCATTTTATATGCTTATTTAAAATTAAATTTTTTTTTATATTTTTTCAGACATTTTCTTAAAAATTCCACAGTTTTTAACAAAAAGTAGTAGTTTTAGTACTATTTTTAGCAAGCCTGAAACTGAAAATTAATATATTTATATCAAATATTAAGAATAATTTATGGATTTTAGAACTTTTGAGTACTTTTTAAAATAGTAGTATTTCTACTACTTTTTTTAAAAATAGTAGTATTTTAAAAATTTTCTTGGAAATTTTAAAATTTGATACAATTATAAATTTATTGAAGTAAAGTTGGTGCATTTTTAAATCGCTTTTTAAGAAAAATCGATAATTTTTTGGTTAAAAAGTAGAATTTTTAGTACTTTTTTAAAAAGTTTTTATTACGAAAATAAATTTACTTTAAGTTTTTTACAAAGAAATTTTATTTTTAAACAATTTTATGGCTATTTTAAAAAAGTAGTATTTCTACTACTTTTTAAATAAGCTTTAAAATTTAAATTTTTAAAGCGTTTTATATGAGATTTTAAAATTTAAAATTTTTGTTAATATTTTTTTAGACTTTTTCTTGAAAATTCTATAGTTATTAACAAAAATTGGAAATTTTAAAATTTAATAAAATTTAAAATTTATTGAAGTAAAGTTTTTTGAATTTAAGCTTTTTATTGTTTTAGAAAACTTAACCGCAAATTACAGCTTTTAAATGAAAAGCTGTCAATTATTGGGCACTTTTAGACACTTTGCAGTCGAGGAACAAAAATGTCTTAGAAGTATAACTAGAAAGTATTTTTTCTAAACTTTCCCCGGTTAAGCCCACTGTCTTGTTAAACTCCACTTGTTTTAAATCAACTACTAAAAACTTAACAACAAATTCCTCTGAACCAATATAAAAACTCCCAAATAAAACTATTCGACACTATTAAAAGCTGTTGTAGCCTTTTTTCGGTGGCTGGCTATTTTTTATCGCTTTTTTATTTGTTAAACTTGGTAATTTATATTTAAAGTAAAGTTTTTTGGAATGTACTTCATTTTCGTTTTTTTTTTTTTATACAGACATTTTATTACTTTTTTTAGTACGAAAAAAAAAAACAACAGACAAATTTAAACATATAAAATAAAAAACTAAAAAGAAAAGCAAAACATTCATGGGTGTAAGGAAAAAAATAACTAAACAAGTAATAAAACTGTGATTTGTAACAAAAATGTGATAAAAAAAACTGAAACATAGATTTTTTTTGTTGTTATTTAGATTTTAGAGACTAAATAATGTTTAGTTTTTTTTGGACAAAAAAAGTAGTATATCTTTCTTTACCACGATTTCCTAAACATTCAAACCATTTGACCATCTATTTCTATATGTTGTTGCTACTGTTTTGTTACCATTTTCTATTGAAATGTAAAGTATCGATCGTTGGTTGCTTGCTTGTTCTTGTTGTTGTTGTTGATAAATTTAAACTTTCGTGTCTTCTCATTAGTTGCCATTTAATTCGCCTTAATTGCTGGATAATGTGTTGGCTGTTACTTTTTTTAAAAAAAGAGATTTGCTGTTTTTTTTTTCAAAAGTAAATTTAAAAATTAGGTTTAGAAAGCAATTGCAAGTGCCGGTTTTTGTATTTATTTCTTTTACTTTTCAAAAAAAAAAAAAAAAAGTTAAAAACCAAAAGTTGCTTGTTGACAATAAAATTTAGAAAGAAATTTTATCAATAAATTCGAAACAATTTTATGGATTTAGGTGCATTTAAACATTTAGATTCTTTTTTTTTCTTAAGTAATTATCTCTGCATGTGCCTTGAAATTTTGATTGATTGAAAGTATGTGTGTTTTTTTTTGCTTAAAAATATAATAAAACGTTTGACATACTTAACTCTATAAAAAAAGAGAAATTTTTTTATAGCAAAAAGGAAATGGTTTATTTTTTTATTGATACAAGAAAAAAATCTAAATTAATTTGTGTGAGAAAAATCTTGTTTTGTAGTTTTATTGCTGGCAATCAAAATGGTAATTAATATAGAGAAGAAATTGGTTGGTTTTCTTTTTTTTTATTGATTTCATATTTTCTAAAAATAACTCTTTTAGAAACGCAAAGAATGTCAATTAGTTAATTATTGCTAGTCTAGTCTATAGTCTAGTCTATAGTCTAGTCTATAGTCTAGTCTATAGTCTAGTCTATAGTCTAGTCTATAGTCTAGTCTATAGTCTAGTCTATAGTCTAGTCTATAGTCTAGTCTATAGTCTAGTCTATATTCTAGTCTATAGTCTAGTCTATAGT